TTTGAGATTCTTTTTAGTTACTTATCATAAAAAGTTGGAATTACTGCGGAATTACTTTTCAAAGGTTTCAAGAGTTTTTTTTATTTAATTATATTAAATGGCAGACTTTATAATAGTCATCATTAGCCCATTAATTGTCTTCGGGCTTCACTGTGAGGAAGAACATCAAAGTCACAAAAAATCGAGGGGTGGGGGCAGATACAAAGGTAGAGAGAAAAAGGTAAGGTGAAGCGAGTACTGTGGAAGTAGTCGAATATGACATACAGTGGGGTGATGGTAGGCTGAAGTGAGAAGTCAACTTTCGGTTTATGAACATTTCCGTTGTATGAGTATACGTTGCCCAGGGTGCACTACGTGGAGGTAAGTCTATCGCGCACCCCTGGGATTCAAAAGCAAAACATCTCAATTGTGATAGAAATTAATTCGACTTAGTCGATTAACAATTGTCATCGTCTCTTTAGACAGTAGATTAAAGGAACACACAAAAATGAATCTTTGCATAGTTAATTCTGATTTCCATATTAGTAATTTAAGGCATGATTCGATTAATTAATTTTCTGTTATTTATAACTTTGCTTAATCAACAACCAAGCAAATTCATCTTCCCATATTTGAGTAGGATAGAATGATGCAAAGGGTGATATTAATTTAAATAATTAATTATTAATAGGATTTTCATGGATTGACGGAAACAGAAAAATATATAGCCCACGGCTTAGTTCGATATACGATAGGTACGTACTCTCTGTCCACAAGCAATGCAGAAAGAATCATGCTACCCGTGATCTTTGAGAATGATTGCCAGTTCTTGGCTATCTTTACATCTATTTGGGCTTGTAATCTTAAACGAATCCGATCTAGAAATGGTGTTTTTGATCTCCATATTGTGCTGATGGTAAACCACTTTTATTATAGATGTTAATTTTCACCTACTAACAGGAAACATGTAAATACTTGGGTAGTCTGGTGTTTAATTTGATGTAAATTTAATGGAAAACTTAAATGAATGCCTATTTTCCCAGGAAACAGAGTCAACACTTAATAACTTTGGCATTTCAAGTATGTTGGAAGGTTGTTTTAATATATAATCTGGATGGCTGAAAAACGCTTACCCAATTGTTTTGCAATTCATCTTCAAAGCGCAAAAGCTTTTTAATAAAGGAAAGGTGGAGTTTTTCCAAACTTATTCGAACGGTTAATTAACAATTTCAGGGCAACTTATATTAGATGAATTCAAAAGAAATTCACTAAGCCTTGTACTTTACTAAGCCGACATATCGAGTAAATTTCTCCCTGATTTAGAAAACAGGTTTTTGTAATTATAAAAATTTTATAATAGATTAAAAACGAAATTCCTGGGCATATATTGATGACAGCGATTCTTGCCTTCACATCCCATGGTTGTACTCCTAGATATATCGATGAACTTATCCTGGTTGTAGCTTTAAGCTTATTTCATTACACCACGATAATTTATTTATATCAAATGGCAGGCGTCTTGATAGTTATCATTAGCCCTTTAGTTGACTTCAGGCTCCACAGAGGGAGAGAAACATCAAATTGAAAAAAGTCGAGAGGGGGGGGGACAGAAGAGTGTTTCAAAGATGTAAGAGACAAACACAAAGGTAGAAAAAAAGGTAAGAAGAGTACTGTGGAAATAGTCGAATATGGCATAGAGTAAGGTGGTGATAGTTTGAAGTGGGAAGTCAATTGCCAGTTAATAGACTTTTTTGCCGTATGAATATACGTTGCCCAGGGTGCACCACGTGGAGGTAAGTCTATCGTACACCCCACACCACGATAATGTGAACCAGTATCCTATGATATCGCTTGCTTTGTATTGTGATTCACTACGTGGGTTTCAAAGTAATGGGCATTTTTTCAATTCTATTCTTTAATTGTAGGTGACCAGAACTAGCGAAAATTACATTAACGCTGGTTAAGAACGTCGCTAATTGTTTATGAGTTAACAATTAGCTAATTTGATTGCTCTAAAGATTAAGGACTTAGTCACTAATTAGGAAGTTATTGAATTCATAAATATAGAGTGCGCTGTTCTTTATCATCCTCGCCATTGGACCCTCTCCAGACTTAGACGGAATTATGTTATTAATGATAGCCATGACCGAGAATTAGGAATTTGGAAGAATCGTGCTTAATTCGCAAATAACTTGGTTACCAAATACTTAGAAATGGGTACGAAAACATGCAAAGATTCCATAACGGAGTTACGTTTGGTCTAATTGTTAATGAAAGCCGGCCTCCTGATCACGTGCCGTGTGCAACATTTGCGCTTGTTAATGTCTTTTAGGAAAATGTACAAGCACCTAGATGTCTGATTTTAGTCCTTATCTGTTTCATCTTTCAGTTCCATTGTAACAACAAGAGAGATGGCAAGGCAGTTGTAACCACCAATTTCAGTAGTGAAATCTTTGGGGAGAGAGGGGCGGGGGGGAGGGTGGGAGAGGAAAAGAAAATAGAGGAAGTATTTTCTGAGGCGCTGTTGGATGGAGAGGGTGTTGAGTTTGAGTGCGTATGTCGCAGTCGCACCGATTGATGTGTGTGCTTACAATAGGAGTATATAGGGTTCTATGGAGTGAAAGATAAAGGATAGAAAGTAATTGTCATATGTTCGTAGTGGGAGATTGCAGTGGATGTTAAAGGCTTCATGAATTTGTAGCCAAGTGTGAGTGTTTAATTGATTTATATTAAAGTCTCTGATTTATTCGTTTTCATTTAGAGAAATTCTCAGCCTCTGATGCACTCTTATTGCTTAACTAGTGGAAGTCTTGGCAACCTCTTAGCTTTAAAGAGTTATTAAATAAATGACCTTGTCGAGTAGAAGATTAATGCCTATATTATCGTTTTAACTACCAATAATATATTACGCTATAATAAGTTTGAGCTATTATAAGTCTATGTCGACAATGTCATTAACCTGATACGAATTAGTGCTAACAATTTTGGTCAACCTATACCACTGCCAAATTAGAGATAATGAAAGCAAAACTCATTAGATCACTATTAATCGCTGAGATAACCGGTCAAATTGGTTAATTCTGATCAGCTTAGGGAATTATACGAGTGATGGTAGTAGGTAAATTCACTTGCTCCTAATTAACAGACTGAAATGTTCCGCTGTAGACATGAGTTACAAAATGGTTTGTTTCAATAGAAATTTATTATCCAGGAATTTATATTGTTTATGCGGTCATGGGAAAGTCAGCAAGAAAAGGAAATGTGGGTATTTTCTCACAATTTAATTCTTTTAAGTAAATAACATAGATAAAAGTAGCGAAATCGAAGACTGAATTGGCGACAGTTGTATTTTATGTGCTTTCCTATATGCGCTTACGAAGGAACAGATTCTTTTGAAGACACTGAAACTAACTTTGTCACTGTAAATAAAAGTAGGAGTGTGCACTTATTTTAAGTCGGGGATTAGGATTGAACACTAGCCCACGAATATATATTAAGATCGTGGTTCAAGGTAGTACTCACTTTCGATTCTTGCCTCACAATAACTTTGGCCAATTACGCTCGTTTACTTTGTAACCAAAATCATTTTTTCAAGCTCAATAATTGTTATACAAGGCAGAAAAATAACACCAATCCACTCACAGAATTACAAACTTTCCAAGGCCATAGTTGGTTCCAAATGAAAGATCAACCCAGGCCCGACCGCGGGCATATTTGGCCCAATCAATAAATAGAAATAGAAAAAATATAAACTGGAGGAGCAGGAAATATCAGTCGGTAAATTGTGAGTGGAGAAAGGAGGATGGAAAGGCCAACTAAGCGACGATTTATAATTTTGCGCTCTTTGTTCGCCAAACGCACAAATGGTGAAAACGAATAATCTAATAATTAGCCCAGTGTTGACTCCTGCTATAGCATGTACATTTGGTGAAATAATGCAAAAGCTAATGACACAAGAGGCCATTAGGGTGAAATTCTCACAGTAAAATAAAGAATTAATGGAGAGTTTAAAGCATAACAGAATCGTATCATGGAAAATGAGTAATAGAGCCTAGCAAAGCACACCACTATTCACGAGAATAATAATAGCACTATCTTTCCATCAATCGAAAAATTTGAGACACTGAGTTCATAATGTGCTTCATGCTGATTTCTTACTTTTATACCATTATAATAACATTTACCGTTTACAACACATGTAATTTTAAATATTAACCAGAGACATGTACCTGATAAAAAGACATGTAAATCATTATAAGTGAATAGTAAATAAAACAAACCCAAAAATTATGTGTGTTTAATATTTCATGTCCTAAAAATAAAAAGTAACTAGAAGAAAAGTTCCCGTTTAAGGAAAATATTTTAACGAAAACGCAAAGCCATCAAAAGAGTAAAAATATAAGAACCAAAATATAAACATCCGAATTGAACAAAGTTGGTATTTAATTTGCAGGCGCAAATGAAAGATGGAAATATATGATATTTTATTGATCTAATAAATAATAAACCTCGATACAATTGTCATGTGTAAAGCGAAACTATACATAAAATTAAATAAACTAGTCCTAAATTTATTCAATATATAGGTCTTGGAAAGAAACACGATATTGCCCTCATTATACGTTTAACACACTTATCTAAGAACGCGCTTCATTGGAGTGCCGCGTGTGCGTCCCTATTATTTTATTTGGCTGCTGTCACTCAAGTATGCTGTGGTTTTCTATATCTATTGTCGAGTTGATTTATTGTTACCGTTTACTGTAACGATTGTGCTATTTTAGCTAATGAGCAATCCTCCAGTAGAAGTAGTTGACCTTGGCACCGTAAAGGGCCGCGCACTTGTTACAACAGCAAAAGTAAAAAAGGGTGAAGTCATATTTACAGAGCGCCCGCTTATATGTTGCCAGCTTTCGTTTAATCGAATCAACGGGCATAGATGTTGCGACTACTGTCTCAAGCCTTTGGAGAATCCTCAAGACAATGCACGCAGATTGACTAAACAGGCATCCCTTAATCTTCCTGCTGTTCCCGGTGCTCCGCCGTGTGATTCCGTCATTCCCATCTTTCATTGTTCCGTTTGTCAGACTGAATATTGCAGTTTAGAGTGTTCTACCGCCTCCCAATTAGAGTATCACACATTTATTTGCTCTCCGAATCAAGATAATTCTTTCAACAGACTTGAGGAATGTTGGCGTTCTTGTCATCCACTACCCGAAACAGGGACCGTGATGCTCCTCATCCGGATTGCCGCCACTCACTTTGCTGCTCATTTCTTGAAAAGTGAACGAGCTCAGTATATTGTTACCGCCCTTTCTCGATTTGTCTCCTCTCCTGTTGTTGAAGTTCCAAATGAAGATTGTTTATCTACTAGTTGTTCATCTACTGCTCTTGCTCACAGGCTTATGGGTCCAACTTTTGCAGGCGATCTTAGCCGTTTGCATGCTCTGTTTATTGAATGTGTGGCAGAAATGTCCCAACGAACTGGTGTGCCTTCTGGTTTGGAGACCATTCCTCAACAAATTGGCTTAGATGGTCTCCTCACGGAACACGGTTTTTGTTCGGCTATGTGCCTGATTGGTCGGAATGGACAAGGAATTGGTTCCAGCTCACTAGGTTCTTGGGGAAAAGTGGCTGAAAGTGTAGTTGAGCAAAGGGGCAGTCCAGATGAGGTTGGACGATTTTCGGACTTTCTTGACCATCTCTACGAAACTCTGGATGAGACTGCTGGTGAATTTCTTAATGTCGAGGGTGTTGGTCTTTATGCTCGGCAAAGTAGGTTTAATTAAGTTGTTAATAAATATGTGAGATACCGTTCTTTTCGCTCATAAAACAAGAGCTTATTTCTTACCTGTAAGTTTGTAATTGAAAAATCAGCTCTTGTTTCCAATTTAATTATTTTTTCGTGTTGATCTTCCTACTTCTTAACTCGATTGTCTCATAGTCTTTTTCCACAGGTCTTTCTTTAACAAAACCCTCCTCTCTTAACTAGATTAGTCAATGAACATTCTCTTATTGCATATTGGGGGTCACAGGCATCAGTTTCTGTAATTTTAACTTAAACATAGGGTCTCAATGTTATGAACCTCCTGCAGATCTACGAGTTATTGCGTACGTATAACAGTATCAATCAAAGATATGCCAATTAATACCCTTTCGATCGCTTTGATCCAATGCACTCTTGTGCGAATCTAATTAGCTATTTCGTAATTCTCTTTTGTCTTATGTCTGCTCTTTAGTGTTATTCTTGCCCTAAGTCTTTTTGCCTCTCATTCAGATTTACATTATAGCTGTGTTTGTTTGTTTCTCCATACTTATAGGTCTGATTAACCACTCGTGCGATCCAAATGCCTCGGTTTGCTTTGAATCTGGCACGAATGAACTGTCTCTAGTTGCAGAGGAGGATATCGACTCTCCAGGAACGGAGCTAACAATCTGCTATTTGGATGAATGTATGATGCATCGTAGTGGGCATTCTCGGCGGAAGTATCTTCGCGAACATTACCTCTTCATTTGCAAGTGCTCACGTTGTCAATACGAAAAGTCCCAACAGGGCTATGAAAGTGTAACCTCAAATGAGGAAATGTCTATGTCTGACGATGATACTGATATGGGAGAGGATATAGCTGATTAGACTTGTATATAAATTTGTAAATATAAATCTTTCATTTCCTCAGAAGTTGAATTTTTTATGTATCTGCTTGCTTGAGGATGTGCATTCCTGTCATCATTTTATTTTTACCTACTTTAAAGGTGATTTCTTTTAATTCGTGCCTCCTAATTAAGGTGTATTGGAATATTGTCGAAATTTTAGTTAGATTGTGAACTATTAATTTGAATCTTTTGACCTAATATATCTCCAGTTTTTTAGGCATGTCAGTCTTTTCTAAGCCTATGAGGATGAATTTTACTGTTATTACGTAATCGTATAGCACGTTCAAGACGATCAGACGCACTAATAGAAGTCCAATTGAGTCTTTCTAATAGCTTTATTTCAAATGCTTCCAATCCTTACGTGTATTTAATTGTTCAGCAATCGTCAAAGCTCTTCAGAGAAAACTGTCGTGTTGGCCCTAGATTTGAGACCGGTTCTTTGGTGGATAAGCAATAATTTACTGTTCCTTATGGCACTTCTTTCGGATTTCTTACATTTTAATGGGTTGTCTCCCCCCCCCCCCCCCCCCCGACTTTCAGTCAGAATCTTGATTAAAGTTGTCGAGACCACTCGAACATCTGAGTAGACCTGAATCCCAAAGCCCGCTACATCTGGCCTAATTATATATTTAGCGATTAGACATCATGAAGAATCACATTCATCTTTGCTTGAATTTGTATTGCGAGCAAGCGTCTATGTACCTAAAAAATTTGTAATCCTATTTATGCATCCGTATACTATCATTTGGGGAAAATGACATCCATTTAACAATAATTAGTAACTCAGTCTATCATGACTTTATTTCGTCACTTCTGCTACTCAATTATTGTAGTTCAATGGGTTGCTGTTTCTCAGGAGAAAGCGAAGAGGCAACTCAACAGCCAGATCCAGTTGAACGCAGGAGGCTCCAAGCTGAAGCAGCTGAACGTAGGCTTCAAGAGCAAGCCAACCGAGGCATTACTAATCCTGAATCAGTCAGACGACGTCAGGAGAAAGCCGCTGAAGTTGAACGCTTGAGGCAATCTATGGGAAATGAAGGAGGTGGTTTGCAATGGCGAGTATCCGGTTAGTAAATATAAGATACACTACCCCCTCAGCTCTCCACATCTCACTTGATTCACTTTTATTAGACTCTTAATTTCTTTCTTTCTCTTGCTATTGCAATAAACAAAATTGCGCTGTTAGTCTTTTATTGTAATAAAAGTAAGAAAGGCTGCCGGAGGTAATTATTAGATAGCTTATCATCTGTCGTAGCCAGTCAATCGTCAGCTAGGAAAGAAAGAAAATGGCTCTATAAGTTAGGAAAATAGAAATGAGACAAAGAAGGGCTCGAACAGTAAATGCAATAGGGAGCATGTAGGCAAAAGCGAATGAGATAATAAGGGTGACGATCGCCACCTTGAACCTGTGCGAGCTCTTGTCCTCCTCAGCACAGGCTGCCACCATATCAGTTGCAGCTGTGCCTATTAATTTTTGCTCGAGAATATCTAATTCGCACCATCCTGTTTTCTCATCAGTGCAAAGAGGGCTGCTCAAAGTCAGTAAGTTTACTGAAGAAGGCTCGGTTGAGTTATGATAAAAGAATTTCAATCCTAATTGTCCGTCAGTCATTCGATGCAGTTCCACGATAACCGCACTAGCGTAAGGCGGAAGTATGCTGTAATTTAAAACAATTTAAGCTCTATTAAAAACTTATTAGTAGTCATCTTAAAAGCATCTGAATTAAATGCTAGCAAAAACATGTGATACCGGAAGGGGTCATAAAAGTTCACCAAAACAAGTCACATACTTATTAAACATCCCCACATGGCTTAGGAAAGCAGCAACAGTAGAATCGTGCGCAAAATAAGCAAGAAAACGGGTTTCAGGGGCAATAGGGATATCCAGAATATCAATCTCTTCAGAATCAGATAGAAAACCATCATCACTCATTGCAGAAATTGATAGACGACGCATAGTGGATAGAACATGGTTCCAAAGAGGGCCACCACGAAGAAACGTTTGACTTGGTGCGGAGAAGCGCAATTGCTGGCGAAAACTCAATGCACGATGACAGGATTCTGCCAAGTCCGCATTGAAGGGAAGAGAATCACCCTTAGTAGATCGTTCTAATCCATCCCAAACGTAGATTGGTTCACACAACTTCCACAAATCTCTCAGGGCAAAATGGGGAGATGCTGTGTCATATTCAAAATCTAAAACAGGCATGGAGAAAAATAAGTTAACAAAACAATAGCATGTAATGACATAATAGTAATAATTAACTAGCCAGTGAAATTCTTCAGTTCCTCAAACAGTTTTAACTCTGTTTGAGCAAATTCACGAGAAAGATTTGAATCAAGGAAGGCTGTAAATAATTTTGAAAACGCAGGACAAGGATAGGACATTTTGAGGAGGGAGTCATGTTTTTTGGGAGATGAAAAGACAGGTGGAAGATGCGGTAACTCAGAGGAAGTAAGCGAATTTAGACCAAGACTGAAGTAAGTTGCTGATCGGATTGTTCGCTCAGTTCCAGTACTTCGAATGTGTATTTCTGCCTGTCCGAAAGAAAAGAGGAGCTTATAAACACAGTGAAACATAATCGATAACTTGATAAATCGGTTTCAGACATGTCCTATAGAGAACAATCAGATGAATAAAACGAAGCTATACCGTATTCACACGATCGATGATGAACAAGTAGATAACACTTTGTTTAATCGACATTCAGTGAGAGTTATACCAAACGTTTAATTTATGCGGAAGACATTAGTTCAAGCTTATAGTCTCTTAAAATTAACGAGAAGATAAAATATACGAGAGAAATGATAAAAATTCCAAGATATTAAAAATAAATTTTCTGATTAAACTACAAAAATTAATACAAATACATACGAGGATCAAGTCACGACAGGAAATTGGAAATTAATGGGAGAATTTAAAAGTGCTCAGGGCTAACCTGTTTAAAACCTTCGGAAATGATATTAGAGTAGCGCTTTCTGATAAATTGACCCAATTTATAGTGTTGCCGTGCGCCATTTTCTGTAAGCTGACATCGAAGATTAACGTATTCCACTGGATAAATTGGATGGTTAAAAACGTGGCAAGGATATCTCTCTCCATGACGAGCCAATAAAAAGACTGTTAGCAAACTGCCAGATTTCGTTTGTGAAATTATAATGCATTGAAAGAACGCAAGAGCCCAAATCCACTGAAGTAACATCGTGGCATATACTATAATAGGCAAACAAATATTTAATGTTGCAATTTTTAGAATTACAATTAAGGGAATGAATGCTTTTCAATATTTATGCCAATGGTGTGTGCGATAGACTTACCTCCATGTGATGCACCCTGTGTAACGTATACTAATACGGTAAAAAGTTCTATTAACCTGCAGTTTAATTCTCACTTTAGACTATCATTAACCCACTGTATATCAAATCCGACCATTTTCACAGTACCCACTTGCCTTTTTTAAACCTTTGTGTCTGCTTGTCTCTTTTACTTCTTTGAACCACTCTTCTGTTCTCCCTATCGACTTTTTCTCATTTTGATGTTCCTCCCCCCCCCCCTCCCGTGAAGTCCGAAGTCAATTAATGCGATAATGATAACTGTCACAAAATCTGCCATTTGAAATAAATATTTATGCCAATTATGCAATCAATGGAAAAAACGTTTTTCAGAAACAGATAGGGTCGAAAACCATAAAGTGAGTAAATTTTCCAAGAACGGACATTAATAGGGGAAAAACCTCTAACGAATGGCGTAAAAATACGCTCTTAAAATATGGATACAGATATAAGGCAGCAAATTTCCCCCTATTTTTAATTTAATAAACAAAACTAGTTGTTGCGAAAAATTGAAATGTACTCAAAAGCGGAAAATATAACTTACGTTAAGATATGTAACCGGCGGGAACAATTTAATACAGAAACAATGCACACCAACGGCGGCCACCAACTATTGAAAACATTCAAGGTAATCGTAATTTTAAACAATTTCATCAAGATTTGATAAATTTATATTCCGTGTTTTTATTTCAAAAATATTCACTTACACTTTTTCAATTGACTCTTAAAGATTAAAACTCAATATAGATTTCTTCATCTTAAATGCTTTCCAAATTTAACTCTCTTCCAGAGATCAGCTTTTAACCTGTAAATCATTAATCAATTAAAATGTTAAGAGTTGTTAATAGCTCATTTACTCTATTAAATAACATTATTCTTATAAAGAAAAAATCATGTTCAAAATAAACTTACCCTCTTAACTAATTATGTTGGATGAATAAGATTTACTTAGTTAAAAAACACAAATGGATTAATTGACTATCGCTTGCACTCTTAGAGAATGAATTTTGCATATATCGTCAACTACTTCGTTTAATCATCCAATTGCTAGTGTCACAGTCTAGTGAACATATCAATGCCCAAATAAATAATTACTATCTATTTAAAATTTTATAAAGCTAGTTAAACGATTTCTTTGGTTTTAATTGAGAGAGGTTTTCAATAAGCAATTGGGCAACTTTATTCTTCTCTTATCTCAAAATCGTTCTGTTACTATGCGATTATGAATCGATTTATCTGCTGTCGATTATTGACTCTTAATGTATTGAAAGCATAATCAGGAAGGCTTGGTTCCTGTTTGCACTTTCGTTTCCTTCTTATTCGCAGTAAAATGCAAGTAATTAAATGTTTTTACTCAGGTCCTTTTTATCTGACATGAATTTTTCCAAGTATTCGTAGTATTTCAAACATCTAACTAAGGAAGTGCTAATATCTGTATAGCTAGTGGCACGTTGCCATTAATGTCGTCATAGCCCATTCGATGGCCAGATGCTGATGACATCCAATGAGTTGTACTTAAATAAGAAGACATTAAAGGGTAATAACTTTCATGATTTTTAGACTCTTAAAATGCGTTTATGTTAATATATATTCATAATTTATCTTACCCGTTGTTGGCTTAATTGTATATTTGTTCGAAAATCGGTTGTGGAAAAATATTTGGCGCAGTTTTTGCAGATAATAACCAACTAAAGTTTGAAAGTGGCTGATTCCGAAACAAACGAATTTATCAATGACTCTCGAGAGCAGCATGTCGGTGTTCTTTTCATTCTATTTATTATATATTTGGCCTAAACATATTAGTACTTATGTACAATGAGTATCAAATTATATAGGTATTTATGAAGGGTTTGTTTGCAGATAAGTCTCTTTCAAGATTGCACTTCACATATTTTATGAACCTTCTATCGATTAACATATTCAATTTTAAAGCTATTGTATTCAACATTTCTTGTGTATTTGGTTGATTTCAACATTTTTTAGAATTATTCCATTTAACAAATCTGACTTTTAGTGTCTCTGAAGCAAATTAGTCAATTTAATTTATTTGAAGTTCAAGAATTCAGTCCAACATAGACAGTTTACAAAACATTATTAAGTATATGCAGTATTAAGAGCTGTAACAAAAGTTCTGGGGACGCGTATTTCATGTCAAAAATTCAATAATGTAAAACGAAATATTTAAATATTATGATCTTCATTAGGCAAATGCCTTTTAAAGAAATAACTTACATTTCCTTAAGAAATATTGATAATATCAATGATGAATGAGATCATCTCATAAATAAGCGCTCAGATTGACGGCTGCTCTCTTCAGTATATTCAGTTTGGAATATTTTTTATACATTAGTGCAAATAAAACGCAATAATGCTCAAGGGAATTAATGTTCTTGAAATGGCTGGATTAGGACCAGTTACTATGTGCGGTCTTATACTTAAAGACTTTGGTGCCTCGGTCTTGCGTATCGTTAACCCGGATGTAAGTCCCGCTTAGTTTTGAAGGTTTCAAGGCTCCTTTTATAGATCATTTACTTTCCCCTGGTAAAACCACAGTTGAACTGAATCTAAAGAATGCCACGGATAAGGAAAAATTCATCAACCTTTGTAAAACTTCTGACATACTTTTGGATCCTTTTCGACCGAATTGTCTAGAAAAGCTTGGAATTACTCCACAGCTTCTTCATAAGACCAACAAGGGTCTTATTTTAACTCGGATATCAGGTTATGGCCAGCCTGAGGAAAATGAGAATAAGGACTACTATCTTCGTCCTGGACATGATATCAATTACCTCGCGGAGTCTGGCATTTTGTCGATATTTTCGTCAGGGAAGGACGCAGCTACTTATCCGGTCAATGGATTAGCTGATGTTGCTGGTGGCTCTTTTCCCGCCGTTGCTGGAACTATTCTCGCTCTATATAGTCGAGAAAAATCTGGTGAAGGGAAGGTTTGAGCTTTATAATTTTCGGTGTTTTACTTGGTGTCATCGTATCGATTTTATCTTTTCTTCTGTTTCTAGATCGTGGACGTGAGCATAACAGATGGCATGGCCTACTTGGCAACATATTTTATGGCGTCACTTCAAGGCGGTGGTCGCGATATACTTGATCCTTCTAACATGCATTGGCTTGCTCTAGCATTCCAGTGTCAGGGACTTCTTAGTGGGGATGCCCCGTTTTATCGCACTTATGAGACAAAGGACAAGAAGGCGGTGGCTGTAGGAGCTCTTGAACCCAAATTCTATTCAAATCTTCTAAGAGTACGCTTCCTTTTTTATATTGAGCCAGTATTTCAACCTATCATGCTTTAATGATGGTGCATAGTTTAGCTAACCTTTTCATTGTGAAGTCGAATTTCGAATTTTGTTCTATTTCGTTTGTGTTATATTTTTTATTCGATTTCAGCGATTCGCAAATTTGTTAAAGTAAGTTAGCGATCAATGTGCCACAATATCGTCATTTTAGGGCTAACACGGAGCTTCATAATCTTTGGAATTTTCTTAATTAGCTTTTTTGGGGCTTTATGCATTGATTCGCACCTACGTTTTCATAATCACCTCCAAATTAAACCTTTTGTACGGTAAACATCGCACTCTTTGTTTTGATAAAGTTTGATTATTAAAATAAGTAAATCGACTGTGCCACTTCCAAGGCTGTCAATACGCAATTAAATAATAATTTACAAATCTGGTGTCATAGCAGAAACTGTCCAAGCCTTTTATGGAACATGCGAACAAAAAGCCTCCCAGTGGTAAACTCGCTTTCCACCACCACCACTTAGAGCGGGTTTGACTATCCATACCGCTGATGTTCACCAATGTGTGTTGATCTTATGCTCAACAATTTTTAGACGTTCGCATTGGTCACCGCTCCGCAGAACATTACTTCAAATCTAAACATAATTATTTACCTTTATTTTTCCCCATTTGATATTTGCGCTTTACATTTCTCTGAAAATTAACTTTCGCGGTCTGTAAATTTAACTAATGCAGCGTCCTATTCATGTCATTATCATGCCACTCTGATTTGATTCTGCCTTTTCATTTTCGTCACAACATATTTTTTTATCTCTTATTATGTTTTCAATAAGCTCTAGGAGAGCAGACTTCATTGTCCCATTTAGAAATATACCCATGAGAGTTATTTCCAATGGCTGTGTTGGTGGCGCAACTGTCACCGCTCTTGGCTCAGTTTCCGTCACCGCATGCATATAATGGAAATGTATTACTCAGACTGAGTCTGGTATTTGACCTTTCCCCTCCCTAAAATTGAAATCAACCCATATTAATGTTTTTTCCTTTTTCCGCAACTTTATCATAAATGTTAAATAATACTAACTTGATCTAATTGCGTTCACATCAAGCTTCCTTTTTTCATATCTCAAGTTTGTTCATCATTTTCATTCCAGGCTTATCTACAAATAACTTGCTTATTTTTATCAATTTATTTTTGGTATCTCCTTACATTCTGCGTCTAGACCCTTGGTGTAGCGGAGAAGTATGCTCCCCAGCTAGACCGTCACGCCTGGCCGCGCATAATCGCTATCTTTTCGGGTATCTTTGCTGGCGAAACACGTGACTACTGGTGCACACAGACTGACTTGGTTCGAAATGCCTGTCTATCCCCAGTCTATTCAATGGACGAGGTACTACAGATGCGACCGAAACATCTTTATCGTGATCTTCCCTTCTCATTTTCACCTCTGGCTGGTGCGACACGCAATGAGGGTGCCTTCTCATTCCGTATACCTCGGCCGAGTCCTATTCTTTACGATTTCCCTCCTGAATAGTCGCTTCTCCCCACTCCCCCCCCCTCCCCCCCGTTATGTGCTTAGTCGATTTTCGTGCGAAGTTTGAGATTTTCCAAATAAACTATTATTGTTTTTATATGATGTACTTCTTGGTCCTTGGTTTTGTCTGGACTGGGTTGCTAATGGTTTTTAATGTATGATGTACTGTATCGCTTTTTCTCTTCAAGGTAGCGGGATGACGTTAGTGGGGGCAATCGGCTGTGGATTGATAGCTTTTGGTCCGGTGGGTGTCCTCTTTTTCCTTATTGTTGCAAGGGATCCTCTACAAGTCATTCTGTTCACGCTCAGGTACGCTTACTCTTTATTTCTGCGCTGAAGTCCGGAAAGATTATGGGTGGTAGTGGGGGGGGGGGATGTCTCCCACTTGTTCTTCTATTCGGGCAGTATTAATCATCTTAGTAAGCTTGGATTTCAAGACAGGTGGTTGTAAATTGTGGTAATTAGTTGGCTGCAGGAGATGATTACTTGCACTTATTTGCATTTTCTTGCTATCTTTTTTAGCAATTATGCTGATGTTGTAGAAGAATGCGCTTACATCCAAATTGACCTATTTTTAAAGATGGAGGTTAACATCACCCTCGTTTTCACAATGATAAAGCCGTTCTTGGTGTAATAGCTGGTGCACCAGCATGCTACTCTCTTGTGAGGCTTTAGCCGAGTTATATTTTTTCCTTTTGTTTATCAACCAGCTAATCTTAGTTGAGCGTTGCGAGTTCACGCTTGCTAGTCGTTGGATAATGAGTTAAATAGATTTATTTAGGAATTCAAAGTGGTATAGATGTCTCTCCCTGAGGGTCGGTTGGCTGTAAGATCTAGCATAGTTCTGCCTTGCATTTTTCCCATCGAAATTAGTGGTATTTGATTTTCAGCTCATTTTTCTGGCTTCTCGGATTGCTTCTTTCATCGGTGATATGGTTCGCAGTGGTTCCTCTTCGAGAACACTTATCATTTGGTCTGGTCATTGCTTGTCTTGTGCAGGAATTAATGAGATTTCTTTTCTACCTTCTCATATCGTAAGCCTCTATTCGTATATTATCTCCATCTTTTCTCTGATCACTTTGAATATCGATCCTTATCAGGTTTTCTGAAGCCAGTCTACGTAAAATAACGGAAAATGAAGCTCGGGAAGCCAGTCGCTCCAACTCCTTGGGAGATTCAACTACAAGTGCTAGAATGCTCAACAGTAACAACTCTAAACGCGCCTCGATATTCAATTTCCGAAAACTGGCATTCTCGTCGGGGTTGAGTTTTGCCCTAATGGGTGGCATATTTGAGTACATCTACGTCTACTATGATGTGATTGGACCTGCAACTCTGTTCGAGGGAGCTAATCCGGGCTACTTCTTCATATTTGCTGGTTAGTTTGGGACGGTTTTTCGCATCAGACTATGTTTTTTTATTCCATTATTGATAAGATACCCAGATGTAAAATTCTTTCCTTGATTCCATATTTACTTGTGCATGTTTATAATCCTTCATCTCTAGTTAGGCGTATCTATTGAAAAGTTTGATTAGTTTTAATGTAAGTTAAAGCTAAGGGTGAAATAGGGGTCGAATAGGGGGGAGACAACTTGGCTAGGTCATCGAGTCTTACTTTATCTTGAGTTGTCCACCTCTGTAATGGCCAATTGCCAATGAGTTTGATCATGTCTGCGGTAGTAAGGAGTCATTGACCAGAGGGATTCCTACACATCTTTCGGTCACGAGCAAGTAGATGTAACTGGCATGGATACTGCTATCAAAAACCTCAAGAGTTCACGCAAGATTGTCGATTTTATATCTAATCCTCTTGTTATTCAACTTTCAGCATTGAATTCGTGTTTTATGGGTTTTATGCAAATCTCCTGGTCGGTTATAATGTTTCGATCCTTCCGTCTACGTATCTACTTTGATATTGTCGTCATTTGTCTTTCTCATGTTGCCGTGTCTTCTCTGGTAAGTTCCCAAGCTTCTTTCTAAAGTACTGCTCAGTCTCTTTTTCACATCACTTGCTGTGTAAGCGTTAACTTTCATGGCTGTCTATGCCCAGTTGTGGTATTTTATATATTAACTGAGTGTGGTCTATATCATCTGAAGTGCGTTTCATAACCATCAAAGTAGTAGCTAGTTTTATCAATTATTGATTTTGATGTGTAAGAAGCTGTATCGCTGAAAAAAGTGTATGAAACTCAAGATAATAATTCTAAACTTATAGGTATAAAACATGGAAACCGAACTAATGAAAGCGATGAGAAAGGGTATAGGAATCGGAGGAAGCAGCTGTCTTGCCCCCCCCCCATAGCCTATTCTGTCCTAATTAGCACGAGACTTGTCGAATATATACATTGTCCTTTATACTCACCGTATTACTGTACGACGCCCTCGTTGAATACTGTGCTGGTCAGGGGGTTAGGACTGGGGAAGGGTTGCTAATTTATCCTACTTCCAATTCCTCATTGGCATCATGTTTAGTGTTTTTTGCACCATGCTCTTCTGGATTAACTTTCTCGTTTTTTATCTTCTAGACTCTATTGAATGATTGGGCTTATCCAGCTCCTGAAATGGTATGCGCAACCCTGGCAATTACTTCCATTGGATTCTTCGTTTATGCCTTTTTCGCAGCTGGCGGTCGCTGGCCGAGTCGCACTCATTCGCATCCCATGCGTACCGATCCCACTGTCATTCTCGACCCGGCTGAAACTGTTCGCACTGTAGTCGGTTGAGGAATATGTTTCCCACTTCACTCTGTCCTGATCTTGTATATTCTAAATTTATCTCTTGAAATGAAACTTTCCTTTTATTTGATTGGAAATATATTGGTTGAGGTTACACTGTTTGAATCGCCTCGCTAATACCAGTACTGGGGTTTTCCGAAAGTCCGAACAGGGACTATTTTTGTGATCAAATAACCGTCCACTCGCGTAAGCGTCCATGGGCGATAACACAGAAGTATGACTATATATATATATATATATATATATATATATATAGAGAGAGAGAGAGAGAGAGAGAGTTATCATTAGCCCTTCGGCTCACTTTGGGCTTCACATAGAGGAGGAACATCAAAGTGACAAAAAATCAATAGAGAAGCCTTAGTTTCAATGGTCTGTTCAGACATGAAAATGCTAAATGGAGAAGGGTAACGGTAGAGGGGACTGCGCTCAATAAAAGGTACGATAGAATAAAG